TATATATAACCACCGATTGTTATGCAACAATTGTACCACTAATGTCTTCGGGAAACGCCATTAATTTACCACCATCGTTTTTATTTTTATACGCATAATTTCCTAATCTCGTGTTCCAGTTTCATGGATTCTTTTCTAGTAATATTTGACTTTGATCGCTAAAAATTAAAATGAGAAAGTAAGATTCCTAATTTAAAAAATCAAAAATAAAATAAAAATAAACCAGTGAGAATAAACTAGTAAAATTATAATTAATGATTTTATTTTAAATATAATAAACTAGTAAACAAACTGCCTACCATAAAGTGTTCTTACACAGTCTAGGGACAGTCCTTATTTGAAGCCTTCAACAGTGGCTAGCTAACTAAACCATGCATGATTTTATCAAGTCTTTAAATATTTTAAATATGTAAGTGAAGGAAAATGATTTCATTAACATACATATATTCTTCATTATTTAGTATATCTTTTAGCTTAATTATATGTTTAGTCTTTTTAATTTATTTTATTTTCATTTTTATTTTTTTCATGTTAATTAACTTTCATGTTCGTAAATTAATATAATTAATAACAATTTAATTCATATACATTGTTATGCATATAAGAGTGGTGATTGCTATCTTGACTACACAATTTGAAAGATTTAAATACATTTATTACATGACTTAATAGAAATTAAATATATTAAGTTATTTCGACATCATTATTGATATGTTTCTTTTAATGGGAAGTTGAAATGATCCTTTTTTTAATTGTTGTAATTAGAGAAATAATCTCATAAGAACAATTTTTAGATATTTTTAAACTTTAAAGTTAAATTTGATAGTTGTATGTTAATTAATGTTTTTACGTATTTTTTTCTCTTTTTTAATATCACTACAAGTTTGTAGTAGATCTCGTCGAAATTGATTATTGTGTTGAATATTCATGTAGAATATTAATGAAATTAAGTTATTTTATTTTGTATGAGATGAAAATATATAGAACTCAGTTTATGTTTCAATGAAAACTATTTTACAGATAAGATAGCTTTTAAAACTTGTTGCAAAATGAAATTCATCTTTGTTGTCATAATTTTCTTACACATAACTTCAATTGATTTTTCTCTCAATATGGAATAAAAGCTTTACTCATCTAGCAAAAATTACATCTCATCTAACATAATTATATTCAGCAAGTTCATATTGAATCTTGTCAAAATTGATTGTTGTATTGCATGAGTGTGTTTCTAGGCTATATGACTTTAAGTCATTTTTCATTAGATGAGATAAAAAAAAATAATCATGAATTCTCATATATAACTCAATTTATACACAGATAAAAACTATTCTACAATAAGATAATTATCAAAATATGTTGCTTTGATTTATTAGAAACAGGGCACATCAACCATTTTTGTTTCAACTTTATTATTAAGCTTTTAAAATAGGGTTACATAATATTTTCTAAAAAGTATTTAGGTTTCAGTTTGTTAATTTTGTAAAATTAATCTTTGAGATTATTATATAATTTTAAAATATTAAAAATAATATTTTAAAAATAAAAGAAAAAATTGTCATATAATAATATAAAATATAAATTTACACATTAGCTTTTTGTATTGGTTTATCTATTAATTATATTTAAACTCGTCAATTTTTAGAAACACTACAACTATTTTCTATAATAATTGGTAATATAACATTATTATTTCTTATATATTCTTTTAGATTTGATTCCCTTTAAATTAGCTTAATTGATTGAGATGTCTTATACAAAATTGTACAGGGATGGTAATATGTAAAAATTATTATGAAATTTTCTTAAATTTAAAGATGTTATTTTTTTTAGAATGAAAAATATATAAAGTCAAAAATAAAAATCTGTCGAGTGTCTACCATCAATTTAGAATTGAATTTATATATACTTTAATAGGCTTTTTCTGTTAAATATTATTCTGGACGTTTGTGACATGATACAGAGACTGTTGTCGAAGTGCGTTTGTGGAAGGATCCAATAATTTTCTGGCTGCCATTTTTGGCATTAATAGGATTCGTTAGTGAGAATTTAAGATGATATCAAAAAATTAGGTCACCTAGAAAGTACTTCTGAGTTTGACGTGGCTATTCGTTACTGATTTGTCCCAATATGATAAATTGCCACCATTTGTAGGTTCCACCAATTGAAAATTTACCTAGTATTTTAGATACATATAGCATTTTTTAAGAACAATATAATATCTTTTATTGTAGATAATTACAAAAATTTAAGAAAAACTCTAACAAGCTTTTTAAAACATCAACACGTTATGTAGTAATTTAGTAGTTTAAGGAATTTATATTAGTTTTGTTGTCGCAACGGCATTTTTATGTTTCTCTTTTATCTTTTATTTATTTTAAGGAATTAATTGAATAATAAACAAACATCTCCTGGGAATATATTGTTACAAGTTCATATTTTAGGGATATATAAATTTGTAGTCACAATACTTTTTTTTAATTTTATTTTTTAGGTTAAAAATTTATATATTAGTTCTCGTATTAAAAATTATTTTTAATTTCATCTTTATAATTAAAGCCACATTTTTATACTAGTGTTAAGTTATATTTTTTTTTTATCATCTTCACGAAAATATTTTAGACTATTTAAATAATATTCATATTCTATCTCATACTTTTTTAAATTTAACTTTATGTCTTGATTTATCTTTATATAATTATCATCTCTAATATTTTTATCATAATCTTCTATCATTCTTATCTCACTATCTTAACTTTCAGTTATGTTCTCTTGAATCATACGTAAAATCAATAACTTTTTCCTTTAAACGCTTGATACATTTGTAGGAAAATATTTACACTTTAAATTATCACTATTATTATCATAAAATATTAAAGGTAATGTTAATATAAAGACGAATTAAGACATAAAATATTTTCAAGATGATTATTACACAGGTATAAAGCAAAGAGACATTAAATTATATAATAAAGTTGGACATCATAAATTGAAATGGAATGAAATAGAATATAAAATTTTAAAAAAATTAGAATATTCCTCTAAAAATTATAAAAAAAATTCACTTAACTTTAATATGAAAATGTTAGTAATAATAAAGGCACAATAATTTTTTTAACAAAGATTGGTATACAATTTTTTTTACTTATATGAACTAAATTATTAAAAAAATAAAAAAATTTATTAAAAACTAAAAAATAATTTAAATCTATCACGTTAGATAACTATTTATCAATTAAAAAAATAATTAATATCGTTATAATATATCTTAATGATAAAGACAAAATTAAAAATAAATTTTTATATAACACTTGTACACAAATTTTTATTTATATAAACTAAATTATAAAAAAAAGTGTTGTATAGAAACTAAAAATTTATTTATTTATATCAAATACTTAAAATAAAAAAAAAGTTAACCTGAATTTTATGATTTTAATCAAACGTTTTAAAAAATAAAACAAATGAAACTTTTTTATTTTTCAAAAGAAAAACAAACAAGGACAAGATGATACAATGGCCAATTGTGTACATAAATTAATAAGGTAAATTAACTATACTAAAAGCATTTGAGCAATGTGAGAGTAGGCTTTTAAATTTGCCTTTATGAAAAACTCATGTTAAAGAAATGTAGAAATTGCTCTAAAATTATGATAGAAAAAATTAGTCTAAAATCGCATATTTTTGCCATAAGAAAACAACCCCTAATTATTTAACACGTGTCATGTTTGTTATATAAAAGTTCTCATTGATCTCGAACTTCTCTAGAACGCTGTCAATAACAAACCATTGACATGTCAAAGTTCCAACTCAGACCTTTCTTCTCCCTCCAACTTGTCAGCTTATGCGAACATGAAGGTGCCTGTGAACCCTAAATTTGATAGGTAGTGTAAGCGATGGTTTTAACGTATATATGAATAATGAAATTCAACTGATATCTATTATGCTATAACATTTTTTTTCTACACCAACTATTTCACACTGCTTATCGTTACGTACAAATATTTGTTTAGTAAATAGTAACATGCAAAATTTGATTAACGGATAAATGATAAATCACAAAATTAATCATTGTAAAAGTGCTACATAATTAAAATGCTATGAAAGTAACATTTTTATATTTGAACTGACACTACTAAAAAATTTAGTATAAAGGTGTAAAGGAGTGTCTTAGAAATTATATGTTGATAGTAAGACAATGAGTGAAAATATATCACCCCCTCTTTTTCTTACCAAAGTGTTTAATTAAAGAGAGCGAGATAAGAGAGGATTTTGTTTTTTTCATATATAAAATATTAATATTTGTTACAAAAATTTAAAAACAAAGAAAATAAAAATATTAATATTTTTTTGTTTCTAAAGATATTAATATTTATAATTAACTTATTTTTTTTTCATCCTTTACTCGTTAAACCATGACTTGCTCCCCCTCATTTTCTTTTTGAATCAAACAAATCATTAATATTTTGAAAAATTTTCCTCCGTTTCCGGTCAAGCACTAACCAAAACTACACCCAACTCTTGATAGAAGCCCAAAAGAATGATATATAAAATTTGGGTTAATTACAAAAAAATTAATAAATAAATACATTGTTCAATTCATGAATTCTTTTACATGCTGTATTTTAATTTATTTTTTATTTTCTTGGTTGTGAGATGTCTTGTGAAGATATTTTATTAAAATAACATTACTTTATTAAAAGAAAAGAAGTTTTGTGTGTGGAAAGCGCCAAAGGTATTAACCTTAATCACAAACCCCTCATAAATACAAATACTACGAGTTTAGGAGATACACAAATTAAGCTAACCTCTTCCCAAACCATACTAGTAACTGTTAAACCTATTGGCGTCAAGCATTCAACAGCTACTTTTACCATGTTTTAGTGTCATCCAATTGGTTATATATATATTATATATATGAGTGGGGGTTCCAACTTTCAAGATTGAAAAGCAGAGCAACTCTGTTTTACTACTCTTCTGAGTTCCACACACACGCACTTCATATGGATTGCTCCTCCACCCTCCACTCATCAAACTCTGATTTCTCCACAGAATCATCACTTGGGTCTCCGAATCACTACCTCCCATTCAACGAAAACGACCCGGAAGAGATGCTCCTATATGGCATGATCGCATCACAGCAGCAACAACAACAACAAGAAGGAGTTTATAACACATGCAGGGTGATCAAGGAAGAGGAGGTGAATTCGGAGGAGAAGATGAAAAACACTAAGAAGAAGAAGAGCTACCGAGGCGTCCGGCGGAGGCCGTGGGGGAAGTTCGCGGCGGAGATAAGGGACTCCACGAGGCACGGCATGAGGGTGTGGCTTGGGACATTTGATAGCGCTGAAGCCGCAGCGTTAGCTTATGATCAAGCCGCGTTTTCCATGAGGGGCTCTAATGCAATTCTCAACTTCCCTGTGGAGAAGGTGAAGGAGTCACTTAGGGACATGAATTGTTGTCTTGAGGGGTGTTCCCCTGTGGTGGCCTTGAAGAGAAGACACTCTTTGGGACGCAAAGTGGCTGCTAAAAAGAAGAAAGAGGACTATGATGTTAGGTTCGACAATGTGGTTGTGTTGGAAGACTTGGGTAAAGAGTATTTGGAACAATTGTTGATGTGCTCTGATGATACTACTAGTAGTTGTTGGTGAATACTTATATACACCCATTATTTGGAAACATTTGTTGATGTCCTCCGATGATGCTAGTATAGTAGTACTTGCTGAATCGAATTATGTAGAACCATCATTATTCAAGATATGATTTTGAGCCTTGCTCAAACTATGTGAGTGCTTATTACTTGTTTATTTTTTCCCTATATTTTTCTATTTCTGTATTTTGTTGTTTATCTTTTTGTTTTGGCAGAAAGAGCATTTGTCATATATAATCTCAGGGTTAATTAGAATTATTTGAGTTCTTCTTTTCCGTTTTCTTTTTCTTTTAAATGCTAAGGTAAAAAACAGATCAGGAATAACGGTTCTTATGTATAAAATAGTTATAGCAGATTGCAGTTATCGCTTTTGATAAATACCGAATGTATACAACTCTTCTACTTATTAGAAATATAATCTTCGCTCATAAGAGATTAATGTATAATATGTTTTAATCGATCTTTGATATACATAAGTTTTCTGAAGATTTTTTTTTCTTCTGTAATACTCTTAGCACTATTGGTGGATTATTTTAAACTCTGATTATTGATTTTAAGATATTTTTTATATGCACTAAAGTTTATTTGTTTTTTTCGATAACTAGAGAGTAGTTGATTCAAGACGTAAAACTATTTAATAGTTGATTTTGTCTTTCTCAACTTGTATAAACGATCAAGAATTGAATATTGGTTTGCACGCTTGATGGTCCACTTAACTATTTATCAACTGTTGAATTTTATGATATTGAATAGAAACGCAATGAAATTTTGAATGTCCAACAGAAATTGATAAATTTGACTAGTTTAAAATTGATAATAAGGTGTTCAACAAATATATCATACTTCATTTTTTGAAATTATAATTTTAAAATTAAGGGAAAGGATAATATAATCGAAGCATTCATCTTATAAGAGTGTAATTTACTAAATTAAATAACGTGACTGTTTATTTAGCCTATATCACACTATAAGTCATATGCATGGTCCACTTAAGTTTGCACCTTTTAAGCCACGTGTAGACACGCACGGGGATTTCTTTTCTTGTGCGCTCTAGCAATCCCTTTGTCTTCAAATGTTCAAAATTTGAGACTTTTGGCATGGCAACACTTTTTTATGCAGGAATCTATGGTGAAGCAAAAATAAGGAAGAAGTGTTTTTATGTGATAATTTTATAACGATAATGATCAATGTGTAATCCAAAGAATATTGTATCGCACTTAAATATATCACAGAACTTCCAACTAAAGTTTAATGGATGAAGCGAGATAGGGCCCCATTAATTTGACACTTCTATTTTTGACTAGGTGTATGACGTGGGATATGCTTCCTTTCCATAACTCTGAATATGACATGTCACAAAAAAAACACAAAAAAGCTCTGAATATAAACAACCATAGGTTATCAAACTTTTCTTTATATATCTGGTTCTGTTCAAAGCAGGTGGCAGAGCTATTTAGCCATGGTAGGAGGCTAGGTTTGTCTTGTGACAATATCTGCACATTTGCAAAACAAAGACTTCAAAGCACACTGGTAAGAAAGGGACACTAGTACTAAAAACTTACTTGTTGAAAAGGGAACTAAAAAGTAAAAACAAAAAGGAAAGGGAAAAAAAATAGTATAATAGCAATATTTAATATAAATGAGAAAGGAAAGTGGCAGGAAAGAGCTTTGTTGAGTTGGTGGGATATCTAAAATGTTATCAAACACCAGCCTAGTAAGTTTAATATTAAACTCTTCGCCAACTGTTCGAGTCCAACTTTGAAGCAAAGAAGCTTCATCTGGCAATTTATTTTAAGTCTAATTGAAATGGTTGGATACTTGGACCAAAATGTGAAATCTAGTGAGTTATTTGAATTTTAATTCTCACGTGGGCTTTTTAATTGATTATTCTATTCCTTTTTAATGCTTTACCATTTTCTTTTGGTTTCTAGTTTCAGTGGTCTTGAAATGGAAAACATCAATTTTGTTGTCTGAGAGGAAACTTCCTGGAATTTTTAGAACTAGAATCTATCTAAACTTGGATGCTCTCTATCTGTGGACTTTTAACTACCCAATTTCGAAATACATTTGATCTATGGTCCCTTGAAGAAAATTTCAGGCAACCAAATATTTCACATTCCTTTTAAGTAGATATACTGATGTTTATGCCAAATATTTTATGTTGAATATTTTCTATTTAAATTACTTTTTATGAGTAAATTATATTGACAAATCAAAAGAAATAGTTAAAATTCTTTTAAGCAATGCATTTCCATATCAAATTTTTTAGACAAATGTTACATAGACACCCAAAGAATGTATGCACCAGTAAGATAAGAAGAGAAGGGAGAGAAGCGAAAGATAAATAGGTGATGCAATAAGAAGAGAGATGAAAAAGATGAGATATATTAGATGAATATTGACACTATTTAAATGTTTATCACCAATATATTTGAGTGTGGTTCGATGGTTTCGTTTCCAGAATAATCACTAACATGTAATTGCCACGTGTTTTGTGATAATCACCAATATATTTCAAGGTCATGGTCTTATAATAGGTGAAGTAATGTGAAATGATCCCATATTAGGGTATTTGTTTCATATAGGATTAGCAGGGTTAGTTTGGTATTTAGTGGAAATCCATGATTTAACTTTGATTATGGGTTCCACAGTCGCATGATTAAGTGAATTTGGCTAACATCTTGAAAGAGAAAAACAAATGGTCTTAGCATTCTCATCATATGCTGCTAATTATTAAGTAACTAATCACTCTTTTTTCCGAAGAGCAGAAGAATTAGGTGAAGTCCAATAATGTGCTATTTAGCAACAAACATGCAGTGGTTCTGTTTCTTTTGGTCCATCAAATATTTAATTTTTTAATAGAGGTTATAGAATGGAAAATGTAATAACTCCCAAGTCCCTCATTACCTTTTCCTTTATAAGCTTCCAGATCAAATATCAACGTATAAAAGTAACTATGAACATTTATTATCTCAAAATTGTGCAATAATTTTCTTGTAATTTTGAATGATCCTTCATGGCATTGTATCTGACATCTTTCCTTTCAAGTTGATGTTAAATTTGGGAAGTGTATTTATGTAGCCTTTCGGTCTCAAACTCGTGACTTGTGACCACTTTGTTTAAAACCAGTTTGGTGAACTCGTCCTTCTTATGAGGATATCATTACTAATACATAGAAGATAGCAGCAGAAAATATTTACATAGGATTATTATAGCATATCAAAGAAGCATTAATTAAATTTAATAAAACAGACTAGACATGAGGCTCAAAATCGAGCGATTCAAAGAACTCTTGAGAATGGTGATTCAAAGGACAATGGCCCAGCCCAGGCCTATTTCAAAGCCAAGTTGTCCAATGCTAAGCTAAAGAGGATATTTAATGGGCGTTTAGTAGTCAGGGTAAACATACTTCATCAAGAGTTTATTTTCTGTATTAAACAATAAAATATATGTTTATTTTATTCAGTTATCTTATCTTAATTTAAGTTCTTATTTCAAAGAGAATGATATTTAATTCAACTTTTATATGCTACCGTTTTACTCATACTTTATGCCTTTCTCAATATTTATAAAAATTAATTATTAAAAATATAATTTTAATATTTTATATGAACATTTTTAATAATTAAATATTTAACTCATTTTATAAAATAATTTTACTTTTTTTATAATTCATTTTTTAATTATAATTTTTTGACAAAAGAAATTAATTATAAAATATTGAAAAAATTATTATTTTTAATATCAAAATTTTAATATCATATGTACACAAAAATATTTTAATTTTAATATGTATTGTTATTAAAAATTCAAAAATTTAAAACAAAAATACTTTAAAAAATCATATTAAGTTTGACAAAAGAATAATTTTTTCATTTAAATATAATTTATATCTTATTTCATTAATTTTTATTTATGTTAAACATTAAATAGGTCAACATATCTGCTATATTTTTTTTTATAGGCAAAACAAATATTATTAAAAAGAGTTCAAGAGGAACTCAAAACCCATATACACAGAAAAAATTACATATTCAGAGAAATAAAAAGCAAAAATATACTTATGCAAAATTAAGACAGATGCAATTTTGTGGATTCAAATACCAATCAGCTAACATAATAGCTTCTCCCTTACTGACAAATGATAGTCATTTCTAGGATCTCAAAATAATAGAATCTAGGACCTCCCTCACATCCAAAACACCATTAAAAAATACAATTCTATTTCTATGCAACCACAAAGACCACACTGTACTTACCCAAACAATTAATAAGCATATTCCTTCTCTTTTACTACAGCCAACACCAACCCAAAAAAACAAGTGAGTCGATAAATCTGAAGGTAAAACCAGTGAGAATCCAAGTCAACGCGCAGTAAAGTACCAGATTTGAGATGAAACTGAGCACATTAAAAATAAATGAGTTGGAAGTTCCTCCAAACCATGATAGAAGCAACAAGTTATATCATCAATTTAAACATCACAATCAATCAATAAACCTTTACAAGGAAGTGCATTCAACAACAATTGCCAAGAAAAAATCAGACACTTAAGAGGGGCCTTCCCTCTCCATAGCCTTTGCAAGGCATCTGCCGTACACTGATCTACACTATTAGGACCACCAAAAAGTTTAAATAGCCATGAATACGCAAATTGCACTGAATAACAACCTGAAGAATCTGTCCTCCATACCCATTTATCTTCTTGTAGTAACTTAATAGAAACTCCATCCACAAGCTCCAACAAAAGATTAAAGCTCGAGATCTCATGTTGAAAGAGTCATCTTCGCCAACTAACATCCCAAACTCACCTAGTGCCATCATGAAAATCATTCTTCAATACACATGATTCAGCATTCCTCGCCACCGCAAATAATCGCGGAAATGCTTCACATAATCGCACCCCGCCTACCCACTTATCTCTCCAAAAAAGAGTGTGTAAACCTGCACCCACACTTCTATCAAACTTCTCATCCAGCCATGAATTCCCTTGATGAATAACC